CGGAGTATTAAAAAATACCGTCTTCTCGTTAAAACGTACCTTAGAATCGATACTGAGATACCCACTTGAAGTGGTTTTCTCTGTCAAAACCAAAGAAATTACGGACAGCAAGTTATGAATGACAACGCTGCTAAGCTTTGAAATTTATTATTATTGCAGGTAAACGTAGATATTTTTATTTATTAGTTCAAATGTAAACCCCAGGCCAAACGATTGCAACATTTCAGCACAACATATCCCAAAATTGCTGGCCCAGCATTTGCAAGCTCCGGCCAAACGATCGCAACATTTGAACACGACATATCGCAACATTGTTGGGCGCAACATGTTGCGCGCGTTTAGCCACCCTGTTGCGACGTGCTGCGACATGTTGGGTATTGAAAATCGATCTAGTGCGCATGCCCGGGTGCAACATTGTTGCACTAACCTGGCCAAACGACTACAACATCATGCAGCATCCACAGATGTTGCATGAAAATATCAAATTTGAGCCAACAACACTCAACATGAAGACATGATTGATCATCGTAGTTTTTGCACAAAACTTAAGTAATTGTGAAATAAAAACCTGAAAAAAAATTTAGGCAAGAACGGGATTCGAACCCATGACCTTTGCGATATCGGTGCAGTACTCTACCAACTGAGCTATCATGCCATCTGGGAGCTGGTCACTTTGTGAGTTAGTAATATACCCGCAGATGTTGAAGAATACAAGTAAATATGTGAAAGATAGATCGTATATTTGAACTGCGGCGAAAGATATGAAGACATGATTGATCATCGAAGTTATGCCCGCAACTTAAGCAACTTAAGCTTTAATTTCACAGTTACTTAATTTGTGTGCATAACTGCGATGAATCATGTCTTCAAATCTTTCTCCGCAGGTCTCTGGGTGCCCACGGTAAGGCTCGTTGCACTGTGAAAGCACCCCTTATTTTAGTTTAAAGTGCTATTATTGAATTGTGGGAAGGATATCGAGCTACAACTTTTGGCAAAGTATACAAAAATATATATACATATGTAGGGGAAGTGGCGACACAGCCACCTTTAATTTTCGAAAATTTGAAATTTAGTAGAAGCTCACGAAAGGAACAATAAGCTCCCATAGCAACAATGCAACCTGTTAAAAGCACCCTTTAGTTAGCTTAAGGTACTGATCAATCAAACGCGGCTCGTTGTATTATCGAATTGTGAGAAGCATATCGAACTCAAACTTTTGGCAAATTTTAAAAGAAATAACTCTCTAGAGGAAGTGGGGTCCAGCAACAACCGTTAATTTTCGAAAATTTAATATCAGGCATGCGGAAGGTCGCGTAGGTTTGCCCACGCCCAAGAAGGGGAGAAGTAAGAGAAGTGGGATCACAGACAGCTTAAATTTTCGAAAATTTGAAATATAGCAGAAGGTCACTAATCATATGACTCGTACGGCCCCGCGCACAATTTCCTTGGAAAACCATAAGAAAAAAGGTCCCGTGTGAGGGCCGCACGCGTCGAAGTGGTAGGGCCGGAAAAACCCGTATGACCCTACTAGAAATGCGTACGGCCCTACTAGAAATGCGTACAGCAAAATCGATGGGAGTTAATGACAAAAACAATTTTTTGCTGCAAAGTTAACATTCTGAGAGTGAATTCTACTATCCAGGCGAACTGTCCGATGCAGAACTACTCCGAAAGCTTTGAAAGAAAGTAAATACCGCTCACAAACGAAGAAGTTCACAACTTTCTCAGAAGCCAACAACAAGCAACCTGTAGGCGTTCAAGAAAACAACTTTTTTGGATGAACTGTCCAATAATTAACCTTTGGAATAAGCAAACAGTCTTGAGGCGAAACTTCTTTCAGTGGAGAGTATCAAAGAATTCATCGTGGGTCAAAAGCAAGAAAACTAGCAACGCGAAGAAAACAAAGTACGATATAAGCTTAAATCAGTGAAATGTTTTCTTCGAGTTTCCAGAGTTTCTGGGAGAAGTTGGCTAAACCAGAGAAATGACAAACATACCTTGTGTACAGTAGGATAAATTGCTCTGCAGTTTCTACATCAGTGTTGTTTGAAGAGGCAAACTGAGTACGAACACACGTTCATTACCGTACAGTTTATCAAGATACATGTAATAAAACTCGCTTCTGTTTAATAGTGTAATTTCCACTGACTACACAGCAAAACCAGCAAGGCACTGTTTGCGAGACCCAACATCGGTGTCATTTATATTCAGTTGCTGGTTCTCCCTTGTTCAAGAGAATCCAAGAGGTCGACAAATAGCTTGAAACGACGCCGACATTTTCTTGAGTCCTCAGATGAAGAAGATTTGTGAACAATTTCAGTGAAGCGTGAAGCGAACGTTTGTCCCTCGCTAAGTTTTTGATGGTTTTGACACATTGTTGACAGCTTTATGTCAACTTTCTGTTGGCCTTTTAGCATGAATTGTAAATGTGGAGTTTGCACGAGAAAACGAGTCGTGGTTTTCGATGAATTCTGAGCTTCTCGTTCGACGCGAAGAAATAACTGAGGAGTTTTTATTGTAGTTGCTCCGCGCGCGGCCGTCTGATGTTATGTAATCGCGTCCTACAGAATTTTCAAAATTTTCAACACAAGTGGTCATATGATAAAATGCTTATTGACTACGTAAGGTCGGGCCGGATGGAAAAATAAGGGGAGGCTGCGTTCCAGGTTAGGAGACAAACATCAATTTACCTGTTAATTTAATAGCGTCCATACATAAGTTAGTGAGGGACAGAGATGGAGACCGAGAAGATTTAGCGGGGGCAATTTAGAGTTTGTTTCATTAACCCTGTGAATTCAATTTGCTACAGTACTATAGAGCCACAAGTTAAAGGTATGATGCGTGCTTTTCCAATATAACGTCACCAGTTAATTCCATGGTTTTAAGAACGGGCATTGTTGATATTTTCAAATTGAAATTCAGTTCTATCCGCAGAGAAATTCGAGATTTTGTCAATTTCCTTCACTGCCTAGATTTTAAATGTATTTCCCCATTAGTTTTTCCCAGTTTGTTTGCGATAAACGGAAGAATTTAAGGTCGTAGAATCTCCAAATAAATAGGTTACATACCAAGAGAGAGAAATTAAAAAGTAACTTTATTTTCTACTTTGTCAACGAATATATTATGCAAAGCAGGTCCTCTATTACTACTCGTCGGCTAGCAGCATGTAATTGGCTACGAATGAAAATAGCACTAAACCATTAAACAAATAATATACATTGCCTATCGACCAATTAGCCAATAAGAATGCAGTCCACTGCCACGAAGTCAAGTAAAAACGTGCTTGAAACTTATCGTTCTTGATTTACAGTCGTCCTGTGAAGTAAGTTCACATCAGCAACAGAAAATGGAACTTCAATTTTATGAATCAGGGAAATATCTTCTTGTATTGGTGATACTTGTCTGTTCGTCAAATGGTTCTAAGGGTAAGGTTTTCCTCCTTTTGTAACTTTAAGACATCCCTTTAGTCACAAACGGTTTTTTTCTTGGAGTTGTCGTACCTGCACTTTTCTAATTCTCATCGTCATCTCTACAATTGAAGTCATTGATGTTGGTGGTAAAACTCTCAGCCGAGGCACAGATAGAGGAATGGCTTACGCCAAATTTAAGGCTCACAAATTCTCCTTCCTCAACATTACCAACATTGGTTCGGATTATGTTCTCAAAAGCAGTGAGTGTGGGCTTGCTTGCGTCAACATACCGTCATGTTTCTCCTTTAACCTGGCTGTATTCTCAGATATCAACAACGGAAAAATCTTATGTGAGTTGCTCCCATCCGACATTTACAACAATTCCAAGAGATTCGTCGCAAGCCAGTTTCATCATCACTATAGCATCGCGGTAAGTGAAAAATCAACTTTAAAACATCAAACATTTCTCTCTGTTTAATTATTTCATCTTTTAAAGTCGTGCCTTTTCATTCAAATTGATGAAAAAACAAAGCCCGAAAAGAAAAAAAAGAAAATACTTAAAAGAACTCGGAGCTCCTTTATTTGGAATTTAGTGTAAATAAAATGTCACTTTCAAAATTAAAACGTTCAGTAGTTTCCTAAGCTCCTTTCAAATTCTGCTGCTCTAGCTCAGTGACGTTTTTACTCTAATTATTTTCAAAGCGTACGTCAGGGAGGCTTAATGCTTATTGACGTTGCAAAAAGGTTCTAATGGGACTGGTGGCAACTTTGTTGATTTCCTAATAAATTTCACGTCATTTCTCGAAATTTCGGCTGTGTTTCATTTCTGAAAGCGTCAACACTGCTGGATTTGAATTGCCACAACAGTTTAGTCTTTCGGAAGGATTTTACAGTGCAATTTTGGCGGATTTCCTCTTTTCACGGAAGAGCTGATATTGCCATAGCTCAAAACTAAAGCTCTTTGAGTGTAGCACCTAAAGACAATAAGGAATTGTCTGTTTCATTGGAGGACCCAGCTTAAAATTATCCGTCTAAAATCTTAAACTTGTTCAAACGAGACTCTGAAAACTTTTTTTATTGCTACTCACCATGCAAATACTAAATATCAGGGAAAGTAATAAACTGTTAAAACAGAGCCGACAGAACGACTTTGTGTAACTTTGGTTCTAGGAGATCCTTTTCTTTTCCTTTTCAGTCTCCATGCATTAGTTGGCCTTGTCAGAACAATGGTACTTGTGCTGCACATTACGAGAAAAATAGCTATGTGTGCGCATGTGCCATGGGATACACAGGGAAATATTGTGAAACAGGTAGCTATTGTAGCTAGCAGGTAGTATTGTGAAACGTTCTAGCTTTTTGTAAAGAACAGCGGTTACGTAACAGGACTGGGTAGAGCCCAATTCGGTTTGCAGTCATACAAGATACCCAAACTGAACCGAAGAAAAAGTTCAAGAAATACATTATAGAAAAAGCGGAGCTTGTTTACCACTTAACTCTCAATTACAACCAGTTATAAGGCCATTGAACTCGTGTGTGTAAGTCAGAAGCTCTCAAGAAGATCTGAAGATGCAAAAGGCTAAACCCTCCATAGTGTTGAATAAGTGTATAAATTCAATTGGAACCCGCCTGTGTACAAGATGTAGGCTATTTTGGATACACTCGTGAGCACCTGCACTAGAGCGTGGTCGGACACAAATGAAAGTCGTAATTCATTTGCAAGTATTACTAGGTCGAACAAAATGCCCGGGTACCACAGCGAACAGTTTCAAATGCTTGCGAAATGCAAAATGTACAAGCAAAGTTGATTACATCTCTAAGAAGATGCTATTCACAAGCAAACTCAAACCAGAACTGAACGTGCAAACAGGCCCATTTCGCGCTAAACTGTTTGTTTAGCCACATGTTCAGTCATTATGTTGGATCTGGCATCTGGCAAACCACCGAAGCAGGTGGCAAAAGTTACTGCAAAGAAGTTCAGAAAAACATGTTCGTCAGAAGTCGCAAGCGGCATTCGTGAAAAAAATCTCAAACTTTCAGCGCAGTTTGTAATAGCTTATTGAAATAATAGCTCTGAGCGTTCAAGTGCCATTTTGCCACAGAAACACCAGAAGTACTTCTGCGGGGTATAATTTACTTCCTATTATGCAGATCTTGTATCTTTTTTTGGGGGNGTGGGAACCGAGGGGGATACTAAACATTGAAGGTAATGAAGCTTGAAGGATGCATATTGGTTCCAAAAATGTTTCCGTCCCCAAAATCCTATAACAGAATACGAAATGACGTTGTTAATATTTGTTTTATTGCTTTGTTTGTTTGCTTGTTTGTTTG